ACAAAACCTGTGATTTTCCGGAACTAAAAAACCGGATTTTTTCCTGATTTTTGTTTTTTATTTTTTTTTACAGGGTCATATTTGATAAAAACGGGTATTGGATATAGGATATTTATCTCTAAGCATCTCTAAAGATTTGAATTTCATATCTTTGTATTGCATAATATATTTATAGTTATCTGGTGATAGTTTGTTAGCATCAGATCGCATGATTTAGTATTAGTAATATTGATAATAAAAAAATCATTATTGATAATAATACTAGTAATATCAGTAATACCAGTAATATTGATAATATTGTAATGTATTATTATTGATAATACCAGTAATATCAGTAATATTGATAATATTTATAATGCGTTATTATTGATAATACTAGTAATATTGATAATATTTGTAATATGTTATTATTGATAATATAAAAAAAATATTATTAATTATAGCTAAGTTAAAAATACATGGCTAATGTACATATATTACAAGACATCAACTCAAAAGGATATCGGCTTGGAAGTACTAGGGAAGTGGAACTTGAAGAAGCTTTACGTGATAGTTGTATAACCAATTCTGAACTTAATAAGAATTTTAAAAACTACCAGAAAGCATATTCAGAGTTTAGTAAAAATATTAAACAGGATAAAGCACAATTATAACTTGATCTAAATTGAATCAATAAAGATAAAGAAAAACTTTCTAAGCATATTTACCAACTTATAGATAAGATCAAGCAATTGAGTTCAGAGATAGATACTTTAACATTTCAAAATAACCAATTACAGATTTCCAATGCTGAATATGAAGTCAAAAATATCATTCATTTGAAAAAAATAAAATCATATCAGGTTATGATTAAAATATTAAAGAGTAAGTTAGCATTAGCTCAAAAAGATGCATTTTCGATTCAGGAAAACTTATCAAAAACAGAATCTGAGAATCTATTCATTAAATTTAAAATGGGTGAGTTTAAACAAATAGAAGTTGAATTGGAATGTGTGAGAAGCAAACTTGATCACCTGAAATCAGAGACTATATCAAAATCTGTAGACTCTTTGGCTTGCTCTGCAATAATTGGTGAAACTGACAAAAAAAATGTAATCATGCCTGACTCACAGAGTAAAGATGCTTTCATATCTAATATTTCTGTAATTAGTGAACCTATCAAAGATCTTAGACCATTTATAGTACGCAAAAAAAATATGGATGAGAGTGAAAAAATTGATAATATTGTACCAGTTTATACTAACACACAGAGTAAGAATATCATCACATCTAAAAAAGCGGTTAGCTCTACACCCGAGTTTTTAGCCGAAGGCTGGCTCACGTCAAAGATCGATATATCCCTAGATGATATACATATAAGTTTTGATATGCCATTAAGTATACCCAAGAGTGTGACTTCATATCTTGCACAATAGGAAAATAATACTTTCTTTTTGGAGAGTTTCTTAAAGCAAGGTAAGCCATTTAACCGGTTTAGCCACAGATCCGTCACATGATTACATCACGTTTTATTTGTTTTGAAATAAACGATTACATCATGTTTTGTTTGTTTTGAGTTAAACGATTTGATT